TATGATGGACACGTGTGTTCCGAATTTTTATTGTCTAATAACAATAAATTTTTAATCGTACAAATCTATTGAAACAAAATCGAAAGAGAGAGAGAGAGAGAGAAACTTCACTATGTGTAAGGCCAGCTTAGCAATTTTATAAAAAGGAACAATAGCGGTTAGTTAAAACGAAAAGGCAACAAGGACAACGAAAGAGATCTTATAGTATGAAATTTAAAAATCGAAAGCAAAAAATATTTAAATATCATAATACTCCGCAAAAGGATGAACACGAATTTATTTTTGTTGTTGTGCTTTGCATGCAATGAAATCGAAAATATCTTAAAGCGGAAAAAGTTTCCATTGTTGCATTTTGCATATGGTCGAAAATGGTTACTTGACGGTTAAAATTATAATGGTTTTCATTATTATTATAATCGCTACGTTCACGCTTATAGTGACGGCATTAAAGTTCCTTTTTTGCCCTTTTGCTTTCCTTTTTTCTTTATTATTTTTATTTCCGCTGCCAAAAACTTTAAACTTTTACTTCCCTGAAACTTTAAACAAAAATGTTTGTTTTTTATATTTCGCACATAACCCCTGCGCTTTTCCTTTCATAATTATTTCATTGAAAAAGCAGATTTATTTTCTTTCACTTTATTTTTCCTATATGTTTTGACGAGTGGCCTTTTTTATGCTAGAACTACGGTGGGAAAATCCTGACATAATATTACTTGCATACGGAAACATAATTTACCAAAAATGTATCAAAAATTTGCAAACATTGAAGTTGCACTTCACTTTATATAGTTTTCAGTGTTAGAAAAACTTTTTCGTAAATATTGTTTAATATTTTGTAAAAACTAAAAGCAACAATCAACACTTATGCATCTGGGCATAGAATATATTAGTCGACCTGTTAAAAATTTGTTTGTAAACATTTTCGCTTACACATACACTCGCCACTAAAGCATACGGTTATACCATTTGTCGTACAGGTTATATCAAGTTTATGCGGACGGTTGGAATATCTAGAAAGGACTAAAGCAATTTTTTCTTCTTATACTGATCTAAGTTTGTCTATGTACTCTTGTGTTCAGTCTACAAGTCTCAAGTTTGAAGGTATTGCAAACTTCGACTATCTATATTCAAAATAGATCGAATCACATTACTTTTTCGATCTCTCCGCCTTATTTTAATACATATACCAATTTCCACGGAATCTTTATAGAGTAGAAAGGCTTCATTTTCAATATTTTTTGAGCCGAATTCGTTCATCACATTAATTTCGCATAAAAATTACATCTTAGCAAATTTGGACCAGAAAGATCCAATTTCATAGATCCCAATCCACATACGGGTACTAGTGAAAAATAAGGCCAATAAAGTCTAATTATTCACGATTTTGTGATGAAAATTTTGTCCTCACTAAATCAGCCATTTGGATCGCAAAGATCTATTTTTTAAACTGCATCATACATAGAGGCTCCCATGAAAGCAAAATCTTTTATGGCGTCAAAAGCAACTGCAAAACGACGGAAGCAACAAAAGCAAAATAATGAAATCTCTGACAAGCAAATGATGTTTGCTAAATTTAGACCACGCTGACATGTATATATCTCCCAATATGGGGGCTTCCATGAAAATTATGCATTTCTATAAAAATAATGTATAAGTTTTGGAGTATCGAGTAAGTGACCATATTTCGCGAAGCGGTGTAGACTGTGCGGGACTGTAGCATTCTTACTAGTCTTCATTTACATTTGTTTTAAAAATTCCGTAGAGTAGAATAAGTACTACTAATCAGTAGGGTACACCCAATCGGCTATGACCTCTTGTCCGTCCATTTACAAGATAAAGAAGTATGTTGCAATTATCTTGTAGAAATTTTTTAATACACATAGATGGATTTCCGACTGTCTGTATACGCATTCAAACCATTAGGAAAAAATTGGAAAAACGAGAAATGTAAAATCTCTGTACACTTCTAATAGAATTGCTTTCAATATTGTAGTATTGAGTTATTTACAAAATCGAACTAGATAAGCAAACAACGAGGATGTTAGGAACATTTTTTGTCAAATTCTTCCTTTTATGAGAAATTTTTATGTGTATGCCGCAATAGAAATAAATCGAATGGAATGCTTGCAGGTAAAAATCTTATAGAGAACAAATTGTTCTTACTGACTAAGCAGGTAAAACAAAGTAGTGCATATGCGTTCTCATTCTTCTGTAGGTATTTTGAGCAATACTGCCCCACAATTTGTCTTTTTACTTACAAGTAATACACATTGCCGAGAACCGCCACATAATTTTTTCCTACAGTCTTCGCTTCTTCTAATCAAGCATTTGTCTTTTTCTTTTCAATTTCCGGCTTTTTGGCTGTTCTGGATTGTTAAGCGGCTCCTTTAGAGTTAAATAGCTGTGTTCAGCCCTTTCGAACGCCCCAAAACGTTCAATTTTAAATTTTCCATCTATTGTTTTCATTAGCTTTAAGCGATTCATTTGTTCGCTTCGTTTAGTTAGAAGTAGTTCTGTTTTTTTTCCGTCTCTAGGCTTTGGTTCCGGTTCAGTCTTCTTTTCGATTTTTTCTTCGACTTTTTCCGAATTTCTCTCACCGTGTTTCATTATCTCCAAGCGATCGCTTTCTTCTTCTCGTTTACGCATCAGGTCTGCTTCGTTTGTTGAAATTTCTATATCATCGTTACTGATAGGATCGCCTTCATCTAAGATAATTATTATAATCATCGTATCTTGTTCAATGTTTTCAACATTGTCATCTTTGTAATTGTAGACTTGTTTTGGTCCGGCTTTGCACATTTTCGCTTTCACTAAAAAAAAAAAAGAAAAGATTAACATTTTCTAGTTATATTATATATATTTAGTATACAGCTTAATTAATTTCAAAATTTTCATACGCAGGAAATTAATTGAATAAGATATTCCGTTAAATATTCCTCTTCTTTTTTTTTTTTGTTGCAATTTGTCTCTGCTTTTTCAGGTGTCTGCTCGTTTATATCGCACTATTCAAATGAAAATTTAATGAAATAAAATTTATGGAAAAATGAAAAAATTTGATAGCAAAGCATGGGTAAATCATTTTGAAATATTCCATTGAATTTTGTTTTGTTGTTTCTTAATGTGAATCAAACTGCAGTTCTTGTCATAATTTCACAATTATTGACTTTAATGCATGTTTAAAACGTGCCGTGATTGAATTTATGAACTGTAACAATCTACTGTGGCCAAGCAGACTGATAAAGACGATGGACACGTTTCAGTAGACTTATGGTATTTCAACAACAACTGATAGCTTAGCAAACGGGCAGATCTAAATCGACCCGAAATTTCTTGCTAGTAGAGAGTACAGTACACACATTGTTTATAGAATCTATGATGTGATGTTTCTTCTCCGGAAGGAGTAAGGCCTAAGTTTATTTCATCGCATCAATTGAAGTAAATTGTATAACAAATAATTTGTTAAATAAGCTTTCATTTAAGCGAATTAACAACTGAAAAATATATCGTATTATTTGAATATAGATGTAGGCTTCGAGTTTGTTTTTTTTTCCAAAATATATGTAAAACCCAAAAGGATGCGTCAGAGCCCCAATGGAGCATATATACATATATATATATGATTAGCGTGAAATTCCGATTTAATTTAACCATGTCCGTCCGTCTAACTGTCTGTGTGGTCTATGTTGTTGGCACTCTCCTAATCGTAAATATATATATTATCTGCCTAAAAATGATTATTGGTTGGTTATTAATGTTAGTAACAAGTATGTCATCAATAAAGTCGAATTTCATCAAAAAAAAAACATCACCTTCCAATTTATACACCTATTAATTAGCTTTAGATTTCAACTTTAGTGTCTGTGATCTACTTACTCGTACAACATCTAAGAATACGAATGAAACTTAGTTTTAGAATTTTAAAATTATTACTTAATGAGCGAAAGATAGTGATGTGGACACAATATTCGCGAGGAATATTTACTCTTTTCCCTCTGTTATGGTGTAAATAAATATTAACTATTCAGGCGAAAAGCGTTTTTTGTATTTCACTAAGCAAAACTCTTCATTAATTATTGTTAAATATTGAATAAAAAATTGGCAACAAAAATGTTGTTATAGAAAGTATTAAAAGAATCCTCCATCCACCTTAGTTCGATGCATATGTTTAAGAAGTTGACTTTAGCAGAACAAGTTTTTTAGTTGCAGCAAAATTTTCTTCCAAAAAACCAAGTCCTACATACATTCATAAATGTATTACAATTTCCGTCCGTTAAAAGTCATTAACGTTTAACGTGGACATGTCTTAAGTGCTTCAGTATTCAACACAGAGAACGAATATAGCTTTCTTGCTTACTTGTATACTTTAGATTGATATATCAGTTGAAACAAAACAAGATTCCATTGAATCTCCTTTAATTCATTTATTTGAGTTATTAAAAAGATATAAAAAATTAAATTTAATTAGACTATAATTTAATACTGCTCATGGGTCCAATAATAAATTTCTCGCAAAAAGTTAAGGCTTCGTATGAAATACTTATTACTGAATTAGCAGATCGGCTGCAACAACAAGTTCTTGGCCAACAGACAAGAATAGAAATGCAATTTTTATGTAAGTTTAAAAGCAAACAAAGGGCATATAATGTACATTCATTTTATACAGAATTCATATCAAGTCTTAAGAGTTTATTTTTCTCAAAGATTTTTTATAATAAAACATGATTTTTCTGATTAAACAGAAAATTGTTCAAATAATTGTAGCAAATATAAAAATTCTTGCTCAAATTCAACAATTCCTCAACAAATTAAAAAGAAACGTTCGTATGTGAAAAAAGAAACAACAAAAAAAAAAAAAAAAAAAAGAAGAGAAAACAAAAAGATATATATATATACGAAAAAAAAGATAAATAATAATAAAATAAGTAAATAAAAAAAAAATAAAGGAAAAATTTATAATAAAAATATGTGTTCATCTTTTTTTGTATGTAAAAAGAGAAAGTTAATATAACAATATTTTTCTATATAAATCTTATTAAGACACGCCTCTTTAAATCTAATATAAAAAGAAAAGATAAAGCATTTATGCTAAGATCACATTTTATAGTATATACGTAATGTATACTTTAAATATTTTATTATGTAAATCATGCCCAATAAGTGCAACTTTATTAAGCAACTGTTGAGCCATAGTTGACAAACGGTTTACAAGCGGATTATCTTCATTCAATTTGCAAGGTAAGTGATGCCTTCTCTGTAACATTATTATATAAATATATAAATTGTGTGATAGCAACAATAGTTTGTTTGCAAGTTTAACATTTCTCATAAAACATTTCTTAGAAATTCTAAAATATCCGGTTTATACATAAAGCAAGCTAAACAATTTATTATGGATGATACATAATAGGTTTTGTTCTTATATGCAGCACATAGAGTATATTGGCATTTTAAAATTTTCCCAAGTCATACAAATTAATATCGGGAGTAATATAAAATAATTTATATATATATAAATACATCATTCAATAAGAGAGTGAGTAAGTGAGGCCTTTAACGATAGCTAATGTCAACATTTTATGACAGTGACAATTATTTTTATAAAGATATGCAAAAAATTATTCTTCTCGTCAATTGCACGAATTCTGTCGCGCCTGTTATGCGTAATAAGAATAAAAATCTCATGCTATATTTTTTCATAGTATAGTTCAAAAATAATGAAAAAATCGCAAGAAACTTTCTCACTTTTCTAAAACTAATGGTTTATCTCTGTTTAGTCATCCCTGAGATGCTGCAATCTATGCCTGTTGAGCGATTTTAATCAAAATAGCATTTTGTTACTTTTGCAGTTCGTTATTCTGGGTACAGCGTTTACATTTTCACAGATGATAATCTCTATTATCAAATAATTATAATTTATTCAATCTAGTGTTGGATACAAAAAAAAAGTCATACATACCGAATATAATTCTGCGCATCTTATACCCACCTGCATTATCCAGAAGAAAGCTTCAGAGTTTCCTGAAAGTCTCTGAACATCATCAAAATTTAAAACAATTTGAGTATGTCCGTCTGTTCGATTGCCCGCCTCCTAACATAACCGCTTTTACGAAAACTGATCCTTTACATGGCAAAAAGGGAAAATTTTCAATATGTTAGGGTGAAGTAAAGTAACAGTAAATTGGCAAAGAGGTCAACCTTACCGAATTTGGACCACGTAGATCAATTTTTTGGATATCACCGCATGTAAGGATCCTGATGAAGAGTAAACTCTTCAGAAAACAGTTTAATTTTAAATATTTTCTGATGATAGTTGGCTCATACTAGAAATTTAATAAACAATGAATGGTAAATTATTTGAATCACATGCGTCTATTTTTTAGACCTCAAATGGGTCATTTAAGGGTATATCATGAAAAGCAAGCCATTTATATGGAGGGAAAGTCTAATTGCTTGTTTTTTATAATGAAAGCTGAACAATAATAAAATTTTTACAAAGTAATTTAAGTTTGCTACACTTTGATCATGTCGTATGAATACACGGATTGTAATGAAAAGTATCTTTTTCCATAAATGTGTAAGTTTTGATGGATTACTATAGAAGTGAGTGAATAACTGTACGAGTACTAGGCGAAGTGGCGTAGAGTATATAATGGTCAGCCTAGCCCGACAGTAATGTTCCTACTTGTTTAAAATGACGTTGCTGGATATAGAAAATTCGGTTGGCGTCGAATGTAGTTTTTGTGCTTGTTCTTACTTTGAAATGAAGAACTTCCATGTTAAAAGCTCCATGTCAATTATGCAAATTAGCTTGTTTGTGTGCAGTAATGGTTACCTCATTAAAAACAAATAAGAATAATTTGGCCGGGCAAGGCCCACTATTAGATATACTACATCACTTCTCTTCATAGAGACAATCATCTATTTTCGTAATAACACATTAAATATTATACGTTACTTGTGTATGTGAAAATGTACTTTTCACAAATCTCCTCATATATGAGGGCAATCAAAATGTCAACTAACATAGTTCAAATTTAACCACATCAATTTTCTTGTCAAAGATGTTACTAATTTCCATTTGACTGTTTTCCAAGAGAGCATCTTTATATGGATTTGTCTAAACGAAAGACCACTTTAATCCAAGCTTTATATCAAATTACTCTAATATTCATTATAACTCAGAAAATAGACTTACGTTGCTCCAATTTCGTAGGATTATTGTTTACGGTAGATTATTTGTATGGCCGGATTCTCATCAAGGTATATTAATAATTATAAAGATTTAGTTTCTATAGGAACGTTCATAGGGCAGGGGGCTTCAAAAATTAACCAATCCGATTCTAATTTTATTGTTCAGCTATTTTTGTCGCGAATTTCTGACGATTCATTAAAATAAGGCATTATATGGGGAGTGGTCGAAATACAAGTTCGATGCAAATCGTTTTAAATAGTGTTCGCCCTTGGGACAGGACCAAATTTTATCCAAATATCTCAAAAATACATGGACAGACACTAGAAGGACAGACAAGCTGGATAGTTTCAGAAAGTGATTCTGATCGCATTAGTCTAATAAAAAATGAGTCTATTTCAAGTTCTTCTGTCCGCACAAACTTAATATACCCTCTACGATAAACAGCAAACAAATAACAAAAAATGATGGATATGCCGCGAGCTATTTAAATTACGTTATTTGAAGGCACATTAAGGGAAGAACGCATAATTTTGTCAATGCATTTATGATTATTTTCGAATTTGGAATAATTTGGTGGGAAGAGCCGCATGTACTGAAATGATTAATAAAAATTTCGCTTTGTTTATTAATGCCAATATACTGCGGTACTTTCATATTTTTGGGTATATATTGGATTTTAATTTGCGGCCCAACAATGTAATTTACATCAAATGTCATTTAGATTTCATTTATACAAGTCTTTCTGCAAAACTTAATTTAACTCGATCCTGTTACATGTATTGTTTCGGACTATTTAGGTAATTAAAAAAAAAAAAAAAATTAAAAATTTATTAAATATTTCGGTGAAATGAATATTGTATCGTATGAAATTTCACGAGCACTTCAGCTACGTTGTATTAAAAAAAAAATTAAATTTATCTTATAAAAAAAAAAAACAAAACAAAAAAAAAAGAAAAAAACGTTAAAGCGCGTTTGCATTTGGTTTATGCTAAACTCTCGATGTTCAGTTTCGACCCGTACTGTACTGTGTATACGTTATTAACTTGAAGATTTGAATTTATGATACATTAATAATTTGCTATGGTTTCGTTATCGTTCATATTACAGACTAAGTAAAGCAATGATTGAATGTGTGTCTTTCATTCTACTTTTTATTTCAAAGTTCAAGCAAGTTACAATGAAATCATCATTTTTTCTTTTACCAACAGTAAAGTTTTAATTAAACATCAACTTATATATCGATGCGTTCATTGTCCTTTTATATTCTGTCACCAGTTAAAAGATAAATATTTGTTTGTGATATTCAGTGTAGATGTTTGTTGAAAAGTTTTCTTACAGTTTAATATTCTTTGTATTGTTTTATTTGTCCACTATTTTGTGCATTTTTTTTTTCTTGCTTTTGGCAATGATTTTTACTATTGTTAGTTTAAAGGACATTACTTAAGAAAGCGAGTACAATGGTTTCGGTATTTTCTTTGTAACGACCATAAATATGCTTTCAAGTTTTTACAATATCCCGAGCCGTTGAAGAGTTTTAACCGGCCTATCTGATCGATCTCTTATTACGAATAAATAAAAAATAAAAAACATGTAAAACATGTTGGGTAAGGACGACCATTAAATGCCCTAATGGATTAATTTTTGTTAAAATCCATATTAGGATAGGATTCGAAAAGTTGGCCGAGATGGTGGTCAAAATTTAATATAGTTCATCTTTCAATTGCTATTGTGATTTGATTCTCATCATCAAGCATTCAAAACCTATATCTTTTTGTCGTACGAATTTCAGTTATCGTTATATGAGAGCAGTTCAAAAATTGCCCCAGTTGATCGCAAGTTTTCATAGTAATTTGGAATGCCGAAACACTACTACTTAGTCTCTTATGTCGAGAAATTTTAAAAATTGCAATTTTTTCCGTATAACGATATATAATAGCGTTCGTCTTTGGATCAAAACTCTCAAAATTGCGACCTGTAGTTTGAACACAAAATACCTTGACAGACATCAGACGGACAGACGGACAGACGGACAGGTGGACAGACAGCCTTAGATGAATTCAGATTATAATTCTGAATCATTTGGTATAATAAAAGGTGGGCCTATTATAAGCCCTTCTGCTTGTTACATACGTCCGCCATAACTTAATATATCCTGCATCACGAGTGGTGTAGGGTACAAAAAGGAAAATATTAATAAATTTAGAATTTGTATTAATATTTGTCTTGAGAATTCAAAACGAAGTCACGAAGGCTAAATAATATCTTATATGGGGGAGAGAGCTCAAAACGTGAACTGACGCAGTCCATATTTAGCAAAATTAAATTAAGTGTTTGTCTCAAACATATTATTGATCTTCCCCCGTTTCCGTCATATGGCACGAAAGCCCTATTGCCCAATAAACATTAACTTTTTGTCAGAACTTTTAATTTGCGTGGTATACAAAAAAATCGATTTACGTGGTCTGACTTAGGTGCACCAAATTGTTATGTTTAATTGCTATTACGTACCAACTTCGTTTTTGTAGGAACCGTTATATGAAAAGGGATTGAAAAAATCGGCCCACCTAATTCAAATTACTTACATTAGTTTAGAATGCTCAGTGCGTTTTATTTTTAAAAATTTGTAAGACTCTATTTTGTTTTCCTATCACGACTTTTTCAACATTATGGCGTTACAAGTATAACGAATGAAAACATCTCTAAAATTGCGAACTGTGAGTTGAACAAATATATACATACCAGACATCTGGAGACAAATCGGGTGACAGCTGGACAAATAGGAAGATAGGCAGACTGACAGAAAAATTTAAATCGATTCGGGAAGTCATTAAGACTGCAGTTTATCTTAGATCTTCCTAAGTATTAAACGTACACCCCCCCCCCTAACAACCCGAATAAAGCCTGTACGTGAAACTGCATAGGTTATACAAAGTGAATAACATTCTGATTATTAAAAAATGATGGCCTCAGTATGACATTTCCGATTCATTCATAAAGTCTAATACCAGATGGATCTCTGAAGAACAATTGCTAGTGATACTAGATAAGGACTTTAAGTTACGCGTTCCGCACTGCGAAACTGTCAGAATATGTAGCAGCAGAGTAGTGGAAAAGCTTGCACGAATCACTTCTCAACACACTCGATTATTTCTTTAAAATAAATAAATGATAAAAAAAGCGAAAAGAAAATAAAAATAAATCAATTAGAGACAAACAAAAAATTGTAGAGATATAAAGAGCTTTGCTCTAAATTAAAAAAAAAAAAAAACAAAATTTCAATTAATTTTTTAAAGCCAAAAGAACTCTGTAGGAATGCTCTTATGTTTCCCTCGATCAATGTGGGTGGCCGAGTATGCAAAGGATCTTGACTAACAACTCGATGATTGTGGATTCAAATCGTCAATAAAAGCGGATAGCGGATAGATGCTAATGCTTAGTGTTAGAATTGATTTCTCTGACTAAATAAATTAATATAATAATATGTTTCCCTCGATATTTTTGTGTCGACTAAATATAACGCTTTTCTTATATCTTCTGTTTGGACGATAGGTATCGAAAATTCGTTTCAAAACGATTATGATTTCACTTTTTTTGCTAACACTCTTACGTACTTTTTACATGTTTTGCTAATAGAAATTTTTAAGCACAACGACGAATGATATTAAATATGAAAAGCTTTTTCATATTTATTTGAAAATTAAACGAATATTTTAGGTTTTATTAAACTTTTGTTTTCTTTTCCTTTCATCAGCCGTAGCGTCTGCTATTTGCTTTCATATGCGTTTGTATGCCTTTGCACATTTTTATACATTTGTACATTTTTATACATCATATACACATATATACATAGGTGTACCATTAATACACAGACAATATCAACGATTTTGTTAGTATTGTACTCGTGCGAGTGCGAGTGTGTACGTAAGGCTCTTGAGTGAAATCCTTATTTAGAGGAACGTGATTAAAAAAATTGTGAGCGTCCGGTCGCGGAGAGCGGGGTGGGGGGAGGAGCGGCGGGAGGGGGGGGGGGGGTAGAGGAAAAGAAATGAAACAAAAACTGCATCCGGTTAGTTATGATTGTATTATGGCGAAAATGAACGCTGCATTCGAACACAACACCATAAACTCGATAATAATATTTTTAGCTAGAAATAAATGGAGTTATAAATGAAATGAAAGCACTTCGCGTTTTATATATTTGTATGTTATAATTTTATAATTCATTTACGTATGAAGAAAAAGTATGTCAATTAATTTTTTCTCTAATTAAGATTAGAAACTACGTAAGCGTAATAACTAAATTATTATTATTATTATTATATTTTTTATTTCTTCTTAAAGTTTTCTTATTTTGACATTTTGAAAAATTATTTGAAATTTAGAAAAGTAAATAAATGAAAGAAATGAAACCATATATATTCAAAGTATTTTTAGCGGGTTTTTTTTTTTTTTTTCGTTGATTCTTTTCTCGACGTCATATATTAACGGCAGCATACCTTCTACCTGTCATCTGCTTCCCAAAAAATATGACTTATAGGCATCAAATACTCAAGTACAGTTTTGTATGCGATGAAAATTTCGATATTCAATCCATAGGCATTAAATTAAAGCATTTTGGAAATTATTTTTTTTAAATTACATTTTACTGCATCAGCACTTAGTTAGTGCGACAATATACTCTAAGAACATTCTTTCTTAAGTCATTTGTAATGTACTAGATTTTAATTATTTTATGTTAGTGCCCGCTAATGTTGGATCTGGGAGTTTTTCATGTGAGCGGTTTTCATTTCATCTGCAATTTTGTTGATAGATTAAACGTTGACAAAAATAAAAAAGCTCATGACAGATTGCATTCATTGTTATCATTAACTAATTTTTTGTTATGTTAAAAATGGTCTTATAGAACTTTCAAAGAAAACGGTTCACATTTGTAGAAGACGAACAAAAAAAAAAAAAAAAAGCATCTGATGCTTAGCGTATACGTTCTTGCTATATATAGAGAACTTGAAGAACTTTTGACGGCATCAAGATTTATTACGGGCAGCAAAGCGAATGAAGAAGAAAAACTTTTTTAAAATTTGCAGGTAATAACAACGAGCCTCTTAGTTGACCGCTATATTTACCACCTTGTTTGTCAAAATAAAATTGATTGAGAAAAAAGAAAGAAAATAAACGTCTTACTCTCTGAGGGGAAACTTGGACAGGCTTGAAGAACCGGAAGGAAATTACAATCGATTTAGATCAAGGCTTTTTGACAAGTAAATTGGATGATCGAATTTTTGACCGAACGTATGCTAGCTTAGAACGCCAATAAATAGATAACGCAACAGAGTAGAGAACACGGTACGAACATAAGAATTTACATCAAATTGATTACAAAAACAAATTCCAACCAATAACTAAAAGAAACTTCAAAATAAATTTTAAGCTAAAGCTACTGCAAAATAATATTAATAATAATAATAATAGTGATAATAATAATAATAATAGCAATACAAGAAAATAATCTATCTTTGACTTTTTAGAGCGTGTTTTAATTGCGTTGATAGAATCCGTTAACAAATCAAAGCGGTAATAATGTGATCTTGTTATAGAGGTTACATAGCAAGCAAAACGGACTAAACAGTAGATAATTAGTATGGCAATCAGACAGTGTAAAAAGTGTTGTGAAGACTGATTCGGAACTGGTGAGTTGTTGAAAATCAATAAATAAGGGAAGAATTTGTTTCTATTCGTTTCCAGTAGTTTAATTAGTAACGATTTTTAATTTCTCTTTAGTTTTTCCAAATCAAAGTCTTCATTATTATTAGGTGCTTGCATGTATTTTGATCATTTTTTTCAAATGAGAAAAGCTGGCACAATATATATTTTTGTCAAAATATTTTCCATCATTTTCTACAAGTTTTTTTTTCCATCTTTTTGATAACATGGCGATACCGCGTCAAAGGAAGAATGCAAATTGAAACGTTCCCTGATCATCGTCTGCATACACTGAATAAGTCAATAATACTAAATGGAAGACTATTACACTATGTGAAGAAAAGTCAAAATTATCGAATTTAACCGTTGTGTAAATTGATACTTCGCATCACTTTGTCATTCTTACCAATAGATATCGCTGATTAAAATACATGCAAGAACTTATTACTCTTCTCTTCGCATATATTAAACTTTACGTGCAAAGTCAAATTTTAAATGTGTTATCAACGTTTTTTTTTTTCACTGACCAACATATCTTGTGTGCGAACAGTCAGTTGAGGATTTAAAAAAAAGCAAAAGACTTGACCGTATTTTTTTTATATATAACTGCATTGATCAAATCTATAAATCTAATTACAACACAGTGCATGAGTTACGTAGGCTTACGTTTAACGAATCTATAAGCTAATATAGATTTGTATCCTTACCCCAATCCCTGTTTATATGGAAATCAACTGAATAAACTAAAGACATAAAATTTTTGGTTTTACGGAAGATTCAATGCTCTTTCTACCCACTACTATTCATTTTGCTTGTACTATTCAGAAAGATATATTAAACATTAGCCCCAGATTTAGAATCGACCTTTCATTTTGTCTTGTTTTAGTTAATGGATCCAATTTAAGAATGATTAAGGGAACTTGTGAGTTGTGTATGCAGAGCTACTAACAAATTGTGGCTCAATTTTTGTTGAAAATGTTGCCTAAAACTTTTTCAAACTTCGAAAGTGCTGTTTATGCACGCCCCAAAATTTTTAAGATAATAAGATTGCGCGAAGATTATAATTTTCCTAACGTTTCCTCTATATGTCAATATATTAATGGCTTTCATATAAATTGTTTTGCAGAATGTTGGGTGGTGTGGCTGGTCGACATATGTCGAATCGTCGTCGAGGCTCATCGCCTATGGTGCGCTTAAGTGCTGGTCTGCCGGTAGCCAGCAGCTTAGACGGCAGCGGAAGTATAGGGGGTGAAAGTGGTCCTGCGGGAATAAATGCCCAATATGCACCGAAAATACCACCGAGACGTCGACGGGCCGTTACAACCAGTGATTATAAGAGTTGTGCTCTTATACAAACGCGGCTTAAACTGGGTGATATTATGTAAGTATAAATAATTTTATAAGCGATAACTGTGAGTATATTATAGAGAGTGCATATTATAAAATAGTTCAGAAGAAGAATGTAGTCACCAAAGTCTGGCTTTAAGCCGTGACTTTTCTGATTATTCAAAATTTGAAACTCAATCGCACATCGCAAAATCCCAATATTCCTTTAATAAAGGTACAAAATGTCCAATTACGAAAGTGACGAAATATTGTACTGCAATCCTAATGCTATCGAATTGTCATCTCTAACGTTATGAAACTATAACCTCTAATGCCATTAATCTGTAATCTCTATGATATCAAACTGCAATCTCTAATGATATCACAATGTAATCTCTAATGCTATCATATAGTAGTCTGTAATACAATCAAACCGTTCTCTCCAATGCTACCAAACTGTGGGCTCTAATGCTACAAAACTGTAATCTCTTAGCCTATCAAACTGTAACCTCTGTGAAATGTCAACCAATCACGCAAATATATTCATGTTATTCTCACTTCATTTTCACGTAAGACTTGATTGAAAACAGTGAACAAATAGCAGGTGTTTCCTGTCATTTTGTGCAAATTGCGTAGTAAATGGAATTACGTGGTGAAGATATTTCTATTGTAAATTGTTTTCAATGTGATGTATCGAACGTGTACGGCAATTCATAGATCGGAACTTGCCAGAGCGTTCAAGTCTAAAAAGTAAAGAGTGCACTGTAAAGTGCAGCTGCAAGTATGATTTTTGATAATGATCGGGATTTATCGAATTTTAGTCAAATTGCAAGACATTTCTGCACATGTGTTGACATGTCTGATTTCAACAAAGTATCAAATTTTTGAAAATGAACCTATCGACGGACTATTTTTTTTTTTTTTTTTTTTTTTACATTTATTATATCAATAAGCGAAGGCAATAGTGAATTATCGGCGTTAAAGTAAATTGAAAGCATTGGATTGTTACTCCTTTGGTAGCCCTAGAGTTATTATATGCCGTAATTCAAGGAGTGCAAATAGATTTCAACGCGAAGCTGTAAAGCTTTGCAGGCTCTTTAATAGTGAGAATGTTATCTTTTAGCAACACTGGAACGTTAAATAAAAGAAAAGCTTTAAAATAGTAAAGTAAATCTACATGAAAAAAGTTATAGCTAAGACAACAACCAAATTGAAATTTCTCGAAAAATTTAAACAAAAATTTGTTAATACCAATATATTAAGTTAACTTTAACTAAGTTAATTTAAAAATGATTGAAATTCGTTAATGCTCTCATTACATATTATTTATTAATTTATCAATGCTTTTGCAATGTTGCTATGAGGTTTTCATAATTCTCATATTTGACATTTGCCAGTTGAAAGTGTAAACATTTGATGCGATAAGGGTTCATTTAACTATTTCTACGTTTTTTTATATAGATTTTTGGGGTTGGTTTCGCTACAAATTTAAATGGAAGACAACAACAGTTATAAGCTTTAATGATAAAGAGACAACCATATAATGTTTGACCGTCTAGAATCAGAGATATATTTATTATATATATATATATATATATATATATATATGTATATTAGATATATATTTGGCCCATTTACTCTAAATGGTAGCGATTTAATTTAAAACCGTTATTGCAACTAGGGTTGTTTCTCTCATCTTTTTGACATATGCTGCATACCATAAGCATATAGGTGAGTTTAAATTTGTATGTCTAATTGTGTGAAGAATTTTGTATTCGTATGCGTATATATATATGTCTGTTCTGTGTAAAATACATTGTGACCAAGTTTAAGTGTAAGGTTCGTTGAATTTTTCCCCTAAATGGTTAGACAAAATCGCTGGTAGCTCTGTGAAAAAATTGAGAAATAATTGGTAAAATTGTGTTAAATGATAAAAACTATCTAAATAAAAACAACTAAAAGTGTACTTAAACAAAATTATTGTGAATATTATTGTTTTTTATGAATTTCGAAACGAAAAATTCAAATTGAAGAAGAAAAAAAAAAATTTTTTTTTTGTTCGTAACAGCGTGATTGAAAAATTTTTCTTGTCACACGGAAAATTCAATACACATGTAGTGGATTTCTGGGTCAGGGGGCTGCGGCTAAATAAACTTAAAAGAAGAAGCACTGTGCAAAGCGTACGCAAGCGGGTGTGCGCGGCATAATAAATTTGAGGGAAAATCCTTATACCTACATGAAATCTATGAGGAAAAAAAAAAAAAAGCAAAAAAGAAAATTATTATGGGAAAAAAGTTTTCGAAAAAGTGGAGCAAGTGTGAAAATTTAATATTTTAACAATGAATACTCACTAATAACAGCCAATGCGAATTTATTGAAAAGAAAATCAAATCAAATTGAAAGGACGATGGGACGGAAATAATGTTCTAATTAGATATATAGCGCAAATGTTTAGAGCATGTACGTTAAAGATTTCAATTTACAATGAATGTAAAAATGCTGAAGATCCCCAGGACAAAATTTTTGTAAAAGTTGTGCTTCTTGCCTACACCCTCACGGAATACATACAAAACTAATTATATATATATATATATATATAAAATATATATATATAATATATATATATATATATATATATATATGTATATG